TATGCCTTTCAAAGGTGGATCTTATATAGATTTACTCCCGTATTATAAGAAGTAGAAAGCCATAATTAACGTAAAAAATAAATCCGATGACTGTTTCAGAATGATGATAAGATCTGCATTGTTCCCCGTAGATTCTAAAATTGCAAATAGGCCTTCTAGCTATCCCCCAAACGATGGACTCAACTTCGATGGTATAGACGAACCTACACCAATCTCACAAATTGATAAGGTGGAAAAGCAAAATAATTTAGCTATAAATGTTTTCGGACATTCTAAAGGAATTGTTGTACACAGGATAAGCTCCGCTCCGGAACAAATCCCCAGAATCAATTCCTTTCTGGTCGAAAAAGATGGAAAATATCATTATACATGGATAAAGAGTTTAAACAGGCTATTATACGATCAAACAAAACATGCTAGAAAGAAATATTTCTGCGAAAGATGCCTACATGGGTACGTACAGCAGACAAGATCTAATAGAAGCGCATAAAGAAGACTGTAGAGGTGTTGGACAGAATGCTATCAGGATCGATATGCCTAAAGAGGGAAAAAATATATTAAAATTTGAACATTATTGTAATCAAATGCCAGTACCGTACGTAATTTACGCCGACTTCGAAGCGCTTATCAAACCCATAGAAAATAATTAAGATAATAATCAAGATAGTAGTTTTACGTACAAAACTCAAGAACATATTCCTTGTGGGTTTGGATATATAGTTGTAAGGTATGATGGGAAAACAAACACTCCCGTGATTTACAGAGGTCCCGATGCAGCGGGAAAGTTCCTTGAATATCTACAAAATGAAGAGAGAATAATCAGGGGAAATTTATCGTGTAAGAAACCCATGTGTATGACGAGGGATGATTGGAGGGCCCATAAGAAGTCAACGAGTTGTCATGTTTGTAATAAACCCCTGGATGGGGATTCCGTAAGAGATCATTGCCACGTCACGGGTATTATCGGGGAGCCGCGCATAACGAGTGTAACTTGAAACTAAAAGTGAACTCTCAAACAATACCCATCCCCGTTGTGTTTCATAACCTTAGAGGATACGATTCACATCTCATTATGCAAGCTATCTCAAAGACCGACGGCGGTTTAACGTGCATTCCTAATAATATGGAAAAATACATATCGTTCTCGTTGACTAAACCTATACATTATAGGGACAAGGATGGGAAATCCAGAATAAAGCAAAGTAATGGGCTTAGATTCATAGACTCCGTACAGTTTCTGTTATCTTCCCTGGACAATTTAGCTAAAGCGAACAATCCCGATGACTTTGCGATAACAAATCAATATACCGATAAGATAACTCGTCATTTGTTGCTGAGAAAAGGTGTATATCCTTACGAATATATGGATGATTGGTCTAGATTCGAAGAAACTGAATTACCACCCCTCGTATCATTCTATAGTAACTTAACAGAATCTAAAATAACCTATGCCGATTATGAACACGCTCTGACGGTCTGGGATAAATTAGGTTGTAAGAATTTAGGTGATTATCACGATCTGTACTTAAAAACCGATGTACTGTTACTCGCCGATATATTCGCGATATTTAGAAAGACATGTTTCAAACAATACGGCTTGGACCCGGCATGGTACTATTCCAGTCACGGACAATCGTGGTATGAATTGTTGAAGAAGACCGGCGTAGAACTAAAACTACTCACAGATTACGATATGCACTTGTTCATTGAGAAAGGATTAAGAGGTGGTATATCGATGGCAGCGAAAAGGTATTCTAAGGCTAATAATAAATTAGTGGAAGGATACGATCCTAGTAAACCAGACACGCACATATTATATCTCGACGCTAACAATTTGTACGGATGGGCTATGAGTCAACCTTTACCCACGGGTGGTTTGAGTGGGTCGATGATATCGAAGTGAATGATATCCATAATATCCATAATAATGATGCGAATAAAGGGTACATACTAGAAGTTGACTTTGAATATCCAAGTTCGTTACATAAAGATCATAACAGTTATCCGCTAGCTCCCGAAAGATTAATGGTTAATAAAGATTGGATGTCGGAATATCAACGCTCCTTGATGGGTAATAATTGCGCGACATAGGCCTCCTTCGAGTTCACCTGCCTGGTATAAATATCTTACCCTTACTCTATCTGGAAGTTTTCGTTCTTTGCCTCTCCTCGGTGCTGAAGATTCGGAAGTCACGGATTTCATTTTAATCGCATCGGATGGTTTCTTCCCAATTAATCTCGTTACTTCATTATTCAACGCTGATACAACGGCTGATAAACGTGTCACCCATTCGGTTGATCTCAATCGTTCCGATGTCATTTCGATCCCATACTGATAGCCAAACAAACGTTCCGCTAATGTCCTGTTAAATCTTTCGACGATAGCTTGACCGGGTGGGCCTCTCTTTCACCATGCCTGATTTCGACATTGTGCTTTGTTAACAGTTTTGTTATCGATCCCATAAACTCGTGACCGGGATCTACTTGAAATAGCTTAGGCCATTTTTGTGGTCCGCGTTTATATATGCGACTCAGTGCATTAGCTACTTCTGTTGAATCTTTCGAGGTTAATGGCTCAGCCTCTTTGTATCGACTAGCCACATCCACTACGGTTAAAGCGTATTTATACGTTTTGCGTTTTACCTTATTGTGGGGAAGAAACAAGAGGTCAGCCTGATGAACTTCATTCATTGTAAAAATATCAAACTTCTTCCTCGGTATATAACGCATTGCCGGTAAATATATCTGCCACATCGCTTGTTTCTTTAACCAATCCTTGGCCACATCTTTAGATACCTTAGCCGAGGTGGCTAATTTTTTTATTGCTCCTACACCTTTCCAATATCCTCGTGGGCTATAGTAAATTTTATCCATTATTAATTAATATTGATGTTTCTTTTAATACGACTATCGTTGAATCGCATCATAATTTTTATACTAATAGAAGCAATGATTGGCCCCAGGTATTGGTGAGTTGAGCCAATTTAACTTAATCTCATGACTATCATTGAATCTTGATAGTCATTTTGGCATAAAAAATTCCATCTGTAGTAGCAGTATAGGTAAATAAATCCAGCTCCAGTGGAGTTGCGGCAGAACCATCATTACCTATACTACTAAACGTCTTATAACATTCGTTCATCTTTATGGTGTGTTTTTTTATTAATTTTTTGTGCAAACGTGATGTGTTCGGATGGTAATGCAAACCAGTAGTGTGAAAACCAACAATATGCACATTGTGAAACTGTGTATTGTTACTGATATTCTTACCACGTACATAATCCTTGTTCAACTAGGTGGGTTTTTAAAGTAGTATATAAACTAAGAATTATATCATGTTCATTTAAAGAAGCTAATATGTCATTATTATTGCAAGTGAATGAGTGAGTCAATCTTGTTAAACGTCGCAGTAAACAAAACTCAAATTACAGTAACTGCTATAGTCTGGATCAGGCAAACCAGTGATGTTGGGTATTAATGTACACTCTCCAAACACGTTAGCGATGTTAATGTTTTTCATTAGTATTAGAACAAAGATAGGTGTTGACAAACACCTATATAAGAACGTTTATGTCTCTAAAACGTAACACCAAAACACATCCTATAGTTTTCACGTGCCTAACTCAGTAGCACCACACACGTGCGTTGGGTGGCATACTTTCAAAGAAGGTCGATTAATCTCTGCGGATGATTATATTATTGTTGTCAATCTTATAGATTCTGCTCATCATATACAGTTGAGATTTACTTGTTTTTATTTGTTCTTTGTGTATGATTAAGCCATGCAGCATCTGCAACGCGTTGAGCGTCTACAGGGTTTTGGCATTCTGGAAACAGAAGTTTACGTGCAGTGGACAATACCTTCAATGTTTCACAGTCTGTGGTTAGGAGACAATGGAACAGGTACCAATAAACCCAAAATGATGATCGACGCCGTCCATTGGTGTCCCAGGTCAATGACAAGAGTACAGGATTGATTAATCCGAAACCAGACTTTATGAAATCGAGCTCAAACGGTGAAACAAATTTCTACAAACTTTCACCAGGCCATTGAAGTACGAGTTACGTGTCAGATGATTAGAACTCGTCTACAAGCAGCTCATCTCCATGCTTGACGGCCACCTGTTGTGCCGCCCCTTACAAATCATCATTGTGCCAACAGATGTCTATGGTGTACACAACGTCGAAACTGAGGTAATCATCGCTGATCACGTGTCATGTTTTCAGAGAGATTGTCACGATTTACTTGGCACTACCTTGATAAGTGTGGTCATGTCTGGCGACATCGAAATCAACGTCAAGTCAATGTCAACCTGGGACATCATGAAATTTTTGGTGGTGGATCGTTTATGGTGTGGAGTGGCATCACAATGACTGAGTGAACACCACGCTGTATTGTGAAAGGAAGGGTCACTGGGCAGTACTATCAGGACAACAAACTGACACCCTTTGTTCTTCCGCTTCCGTGTGGGTCGACGTTTGGTCTTTCAGGACGACAACGCCCGTGCTCAGGGTGCATTCTTAAAATTGGTTGAACTTGCGCTGCAAGAGGAGAGGAAGAGACTCCCTCAAATCGCCATTGGGAGAATCCTACACAGTGAGCCTCTTTGAGTGAATGAATGCTTGCTAAATCGTGGGGGTATTACGCACTACTGATCCAAAAACGCCAACTTTGAAATGTTCCATCTTACCCCTATTGCATTTCAAGATTGTTGGCGGACATCTACTGTCATACTTCACTATCGGGTGTACTGTGTTCCCAATTCGTTTGTTATTATCATACAACTTTTAGAAGTAAATATCTCTTACAATTTTGGAAATTTTAAGTTGTATCCGAGTGGCCCCTAGTAAGAGTTTATTTCTGACAGCCTTAATTCATTCCTGTAAAAAGAGACACTTATGTAGACAAATATGCCATTTTCAAATTCAGACGGAACAACTACAACACATTTCTGATTTGAATGAAGTTTGTGTGACTGGTGCAATCAAAACTATCCTTACACTGACAATCGGCTTTCTTCTTCAATGGCCAGGGTTGATCTGACTTCTGAGGATTTGAAGCTGGCATCCAGCTCCACCTTTACGTGTGTAGGATCTCGGCTTTGCATGACGATGGATGTTTCCTCTGTTCCATCTGTTTCATCTGTGAGGAAGGTTTATGTTATGAAACGACGTCTCACTCTCTCAAAATACTTGTGTGGTACTGTTGCAGACAATAACATTTTGCCTCATTACAGTCACAACACGTAGATTACAGGTATCAGGGGCTATATACAGTCAAGTCTCGTTAATCCGACACTCGTTAATCCGACACTCGGCTTTATCCGACACAAATGATGGGAACCGATTGATTCAGCGCTATTTAGTCCCGTTAATCCGACATTCTCGCACTCCGACTCCGACACACCTAATTTGCAACGAATTACCGAAATCACCCATTAATCAGTCTCGTTAATCCGACACAGTGGTCAGCGTACTCCGTGGTCATCTGCCCCCGAGTACACAACCCCGTGATTTGACACGCACTGGCTGCAGAGATTAACTTTAACAATTAACACTAGATGTCGGGATCATAAAGAATTTCAAGCTTTATTATAAGAAACAAATGAAATTACACCTCGACAATGTTGATGCTGAAGAACCACCAGCCCTAGACGTCAAGCGAACAGGGGACTTTGAGAAATGTGCATTCAAAATGTGAGAAACAGAAAACACTGACAGACTATTTTAAGTAGATGAAGCAAGTTGTTAAGACAGTAGCACTTGCATTTATACGAGGAAACACACGGTTATTATCTATCGTGAAGATGTCCGATTTTCGATCACAAATCACTTAATTTCGTTAATCCGACATACTCGTTAATCCGATACAATCATGTGCAACCAACGATGTCGGATTAACGAGACTTGACTGTATAACAAAATTATAATTTTACAAATCGCATATGGTTCCAAATACTTTATTTTGGAAATTTGAGCTAAATTTGTTTTGGGTTTGGGAACAATTCGACATACCCTACACCTGGTGATTTTTACAACGCCCAAAGACATTTCGTTTGTCGGATAGAGGGGACTTGTTATTCTCTTGCGTTGACGATTTATATTTACATTGATAAATATAATATAAAACTTAAGACATGCATTATCATTGGTCTCCAGGCTACATGTGGACATGGTAGTCAGGACTGGTGATTGTGTGTTAACAAGAACCCAACAACGTTGGACATTGCGGGTAATGTAAATCACTACTTTCTCTGGTCCGGACACAGTTATTTACAGGTCTCCGTATTTAGCAAGAATATAGTGAACTGTGGTGTTAAACAATGACAAAACGTGTTATCGAAATAATACTGTGGGGCTTGATAAAAATATTTATCATTTGAGCCACTTACAAATGCCTTGTAAAATAGCCTTGCAAGATATTTGTAAAGAATGTATTTATTTGAAGGTAAGGTACCTCACTTGGCTACCTCACATGATAGTATCTACTGACCCGGTGCAGTGTTATGCCTGTTTATCTCATCCTGAATTCACTTGTCGCCTGATGACTGCTGTTGATGCCACACAATAACAACAATATTGTGTCATTGTTCATAAATTCTTTACATTCGATATATGGAATTAAAACATAACTATTATTAAACCTTCATTATTCAGGAAGCAGTTATTTTCCTAAATTATGCTGTCATTATGTGGTTTGCATTCCCTTTTGAGAGTCTTGGAAAAGGAGAAACTAAGCTGCAAGTAGGAATAAATATACGAATACAAAGATCTACTTACGCTGATGTCGGGTGTGTTTGATTTGCTCCAGAATGGCATTAACTATCGGCATCATCATAGCGGCCGTGGCTGTGTTGCTCATCCACATTGACAGAAACCAGCATGGCAGCATGATCCCAAACAGCAACCTATAAAGTCAAATACACAATCAAAACTTAGTTTGCACCCAAAGGCAAATCTAAATCATATTTTCTAAAAATACCCTGGAGATAATAACCATATATTCAGTTTGTATATCCATTAGGATGTGATGTTGATGTCTCCTTTTTAGATGTGATTCTGTTGGAAAATCTGAGTACTGTTGTGATCAATCAGATCCTTCTTATTTATACGACCATTGGCTACATGATATTTTGCGATGGTGTTAAGAGAAAACATAATCATGGAAAATGTTATTGTTAATGAAAGGTTTGTGTGATTTGACATTAAACGTCTGAGGTACGACTTCAAGTGAGTGAGTGAGTGAGTATGGTATTGTACCCATGTCGGGAATCAAAACCGGGTCTTCTGCGTGACGAGCGAACGCTTTAACCACTAAGCTACCCGACCGCCCCACGACTTCAAGTGCTTATATGTATGAGATTTGGCTCAGCATTGTTTTTATTGGACCCTAATCTCTTTGTCTCAGCGCAGTACCCGTGAAGCTGAGAAAGAGCAGCATTTTCTTATTGAGCGTTATATCATTGAAAATGGCATAATGGCCACCAGGAGAGGTAAAAATTTAGCTTTGACTGCGTCAGTTAAAAGGGATAAAGTAGTGCTGTTTTCACAGGTCTGTTGATTAAACTACAATATGTATTCTTTCCAATGTCAAATCAACCAACCTCAACTTCTTATGACAAAGTTCTGTGCTGTTGCTGTTTGAAGTGTTTAAGAGGTCGGGTTCTGCTTTAGCAATTTCAGCTGACCTGTCCCTGTTTGGGACCTCATATGTGTGAGAAGGGTACACATATCTATTGCGAGTTTTGGTATTTATAGAATTACTGTTTTTGTAATGATATGGTTTCTATTCTCGTATATTGATATAGTTTCATTTTTTTATCTTTGGCTGCTCTATTTATATACGTTCAAGTACCTGTCCATCTCTCAGAAATAGAGTTCGCTTTTGCATCTCTTGGCTTTAGGAAATCTGTGACAGATAGCTGATCTAATGGCAATTCTTGTTTTAACTGTTGTTTTAACCTGGGCAAGGGCATGGTCTTGCCATTCTAGTAACAAGTGATCAATGGATTCAGGTTGATAGCAAGATGGACATACCTTGCCATAGTGCTTTTTGTGACCGAGTCTGAGATGTCAGATGGCTATTTCAACTTTCCTTTCATTTGAGTATGCGTATGGCTTTTGGTGGATCTTTGGTTCATTTTTGTATAGCCATCTGCCGATCTTACTTGCTATGGGCTATGGAGGCTTTGCTTTTGCTTTTTATCTCTAGTTTACTAAGGGAATAGGCTGTATGTCCGCTTTGTCTAAAGCTTGCTTCGCCAGTGTGTCTGCTTTTTCATTTCCATTAATATCTATGTGAGACAGGATCAAACACAGCTCCAACTATTGCCCTTGGTCCGATAACTTTGTATATTCGTATAGAATATTATTGCGAGTGTTGAGCCTGGAGTTTGAGTTTTTTGCTGCAGATGGCTTGAAGCGTCTGATAGGACGATTGCCTTTGCTTCCAGTAGTTTTTCTTCCTGGTATGACTTTGATTGTATGATGAACTGCCTCAAATTCAGCAGTTAATACTGTCCATCAGCCAGGCAGAACCGAGTGCTTGGGGTTTGGAGCTATGGATATGGATCCCGTATCAAGCACTGTTGTTGATAGGATTCTTGGATCCCTCAGTGTATATATAGGCCCAGCAGTCCCAGGTAGTTTGAATTTTAGTGATAGCTACTGATCCTAGTAGGGTTTGGTTTTCTTTATAAGTGTTTGTTTGTTGTTTAACGCCTCACTCAGCAATGTTTCAGCTATATGACAGCGGTCTGTAAATAATCGAGTCTGGACCAGACAACCCAGTGATTGACATCATGAACATCGATCCACGCAATTGGGATACGATGACATGTATCAACCAAGTCTGTGAGCGCTCAGTCGTATGCTCTTTTGAAGAGGATGGTCTTGAGTTTTGACATATTCAGATCTCCAGACATCAATGGGCAGTGCATTCCATGGAGTTGCACCTGGTTTTTGGAAGGGTCTGTCGCCATATGTTGTTCTGCTGGTTGGTGGAACAGCAAGTTGGCAAGCTGTAGTCGGTTCGTAGATCTAAGTGTTCGTCCAGGTTGGTAAAGGGCAGTGAGTTCCTGGAGGTATACTGGGGATAACCTATGGATCGATTTGTAAAATTACTCCCTGTAAAAGCTAGAGCATTAACAATAGCTCCACCGACCATCATCACAATTGATGCCATGATATGTATGTATCTTTATAAAATATTCAAATGTTCAATTACTTCATTATGTCTTCTGGGATAAGCCCTTGTTTGATGAGTATATCATGTTGCCATTGCTAGTCCTATATCGAGAACCATCATGCCGATTTCATAACCATTAAAATCTAGCTAAGGTGGTGTGACTTTAGTAATCATTACAGCTATACTGGCATAGCGAATGGCCAAGCCACTGACCACCTCTGAATGATACATTGCGTTTACCAACATTTTACCATCTGTAACTTGAGTAGTCCTGCTTTTATAACATTACATGAGGGCTTAACTCTGATTGAACCTCATCTAGTTTTGTAACTTGTGGTGTTTTCTCTTCTCCTGTCTTAAAAAAACATAACGCTGCTATAGCAACAACCCCTAGTACAGAGGGAGCCCAAGTTTTAATCGAGCTATGTTCAGTATTTTCAGTGTTTCCTCGTTCACTTGCAGTATATCCTTCTCCATTATTAATAAGTGGGCACGTATGTTTAAATTGACAATACCTAGCCGTTATTAAAGCTGTGGTAAGTAGCGCTAAGAACATTCCGTATCTTTGATAAAACTCACAGCTAACTGCGCCTATAGCATGTTCGATGAATGGGTCTTTCTCGAGAGATTTACATAGATACATGCGATATTCTGCTGGGATAGGAAGAAACATACTAGCTACAACTGTGTATAGTTGTACCTTAGCCGAACCTATTGTTTTTGTCATGGTAGCTCCCAGTCTAGACTCGTAACGCGCATACAGTTTTTTAATTTCTTCGTCGGTCATGCTATCAACTTTTTCAGTGGTATAATTTCCTCCCAAATATTGGGAACATTTTCCACCGGCTACCAAAGCCGCGAGTCTTTCTCTATGTTTATCTGTATGTTGATCAGGCTCATCTTTAAGCATTTGTTCGATAAGTTCATCGCATTCCATAATGTAATACCTATGGATATATCTAAATCTAACATAATGAAATATTGCATATCCAATACAGCCAGAAAAAATAAACGGTTGTAAAAGAATGAGGATTTCAAACCACATTATTACATAATAACCGCTAATTTTTATCCTAAATTTGCTATAATTTTGCTATAATGTGCTATATTTTTTGCTTTATTTTTGCCATATTTTTGCTTAGCAATTGCATAAGCAGCTGGTTGATCGGTTTTTAATTCGAGTTTACGGTGCTTTGTTTCCGCTAACAGTTTTCTGACTTTATCTCATTTGAGCTTGGTTCAAATAGCATCATTTTTGCGTAGACATTCCTCAAATGAATCTCGGTCTTTGGATTGAGACAAGGCAACCCATTTGGTCTGCTCTCTGAGATCTTTCAGGACAGAGTTGTATTTTTTAGTAAGTACCCAAACGCTATGCTCCATATGCCGACCGGAGAATGCTAAATATGAAAGAATGTCTTTCTTTTTGGTAAGTTCTTTACTCGCACTGCAGTCGTCTATTATGAAAAGGGTTGATTTTCCTTTGAATTTTTCGTGACAAACTCGTAAATAGTCTAGTAAACGATCACCCGGATCAACTTTGTACACCTCGGGATCATTCATTACCCAGGTATGTTTTATTAACGCTTATAGTCGGGCACAGAATAATACTATTGGTGAAAACATCCCGACATTGACTTTGTAAAATATCTAGAATAAAAGCTGTTTTTCCACAACCCGTTTGCCCGCAGATGATAGCGAAGTGCGGCTCTTTAGGTAAAAGATTATTAATAGATCGCTTGCACAAATCTTCCATTCTGTATATCAAGTTGCGCATCCATAATCACGTACAAATATATGTTTAATTTACCAGCTGCTTCCTGGTGCTTCGTTATCTGTATAGTAACACCCTCACTAGCATTTTCTATTCTCTGCCAACTACTTTGTAGTTGGTCATCATCTGTGGTTCGTATGTCGAGCCATAGTGCATACTTTATGGTCGAGCCATAGCGCATACTTCGTGGTAAGGAATTCAGCCATCGTTACACCCCCGAGAGACAGATCTTTCACAACCGCGTTAACTTCTGGGTTTCGTTATATAGAAGGGAGTTTTTTAATCTCATCCCACTGTTGATATGCTCGCATACCTTGACTATATAGTTGATTAGGCACGCCCTTGATAGTCAATTCTACTTTTGTAATTTTGGGGTTGTAGAACACATCGGTATCTCTTGCAAATGCTTCAGAAGGTCCTCGAACAACATTAAAATACACTTCAATGATCTAGCGGTTTAGATTGAAATTCCAAGTCGTATCCCTTTTGTTCCTGGTGATCTTTTGGTGTTGAAGCACGCGATCGTACAAAATGGCTAAACTTCTGGTATACTGGTTACGAATTTGTCTGGCTTATTCAGGATCTGTTATCATATCATACTCCAGTGAGATATTGTCAATAGAATAGCGAGCATCTTCAGTAGCTTTGATTACTCTGCCGTAGTCATTAAAGGTGAGTTCGTATTCTAACCTATCGCCTAGGGATGCATGATAGAAGGGCATGTGACTATCTAATAATTCAAAGTCGAGCGGAATATAGAATCGGTTACCTAATATACTAGCCACATAAAGAAACTGTGCACGGAGAAAATATATTCTGGATTGAAATACAACACAGCAAGAACAAAATGATGCAGACGCTGTAGCAGCTGAATGATCGGACCATAAGAAAATGTCAACGGGACCTGAACAACATCTGTTACGATGACGTCAGAAGATCAAAATGGA